CATCTATCCATCCATCTATCCATCCATCTATCTATCTATCTATCTATCTATCTTCTATCCTATCTATCTATCTATCTATCTATCTATCTATCTATCTATCCATCCATCCCTGTCTGTCTGTCTGTCTGTCTGTCTGTCATTCCTTCTGATGTGATGTCAGAATCCATGAGGGTATATCAGCATGTTGTTGTTGTTCAGTCGCAGAGTTGAGTCCGACTCTTCGCGACCCCATGGACCAGCTCCCGCCAGGCCCTCCGGTCTTCCGCCGTCCTCTGAAGTCTGCTCAATTTCATGTTCGTTGCATCGATGACACTATATCTATATGCATCTATATCTATGATATATCTATATCAGCATATAAGAACTCAAATCGTATTTAACTTTACTTGCTGTTTTATAAAGAAGGGACAGGAGGTAAAGGTGCTCCAACCCCTTGAATATTCTGAACATAGTAACATAGATGCGTGTAAAATATAGGTTCCCACTTTTCTTGACAGCCGCAGCCAGCTGCACCCCATCAGGACATATGTAAATGGGGGGGGGGTGCCCCAGCTTGCCTTCCTCCATTCTTACTTTTCAAGTCAAAATCTTCAAGACGAGAGACCAACAGAGGTGGTTTGCCATTGCCTGCCTCTGCATCACAACCTTGGCGGTCTCCCAGCCAAATACTGACCAAGGTGAGCCCCGCTTAGCTGCAGAGATCTCATGAGATCGGGCTAGCCTTGGCCATCCAAGTCAGGGCATTCTCCCCTACCCTCAGTCAAATTTTCCTGTTTGTTCCCCATTCACCCCCTTTTTGGAAGATCATTTTGGAGTTCACTTGGGTTTTTAACCATCTGAATAATTTGGTGTCATCTGGAAAGTCAGCTACTCTTCCCTATATCCAAGGTTATTTATACACATTCTTAATAGTGTCAATCCCTGTACAGCTGTCACCGTTTGCTTCCCTTTCTTTTGAAGCCTGTCTACTGATCCCTACCCTCTGCTTTGTGTTTTTATGTCTTACAAGGGATCTATATGTCATTCAATTAGTGTTAGATAAACAGCTAGCTTATTATTTTCAATGGAAGAGTTCCCATTGGTTTCTGTATTTCAATGTCCTTTGGTATGACTTGATCTGTTTTTTTTACTGGGCACAGACTTAAATTAGTTTGCACAGAGCTTTCAAAATCTCAAATGATTACAGTACTGTTGATGGGGCTTCTATCATGCACAATATTGGCAACAACCTTATTCTCTTCACCTCCCACGCTCTCTTGTTTAATATCTAGCCCAAGGGAGAGTTCTGTTTGACTCAAAAGCTAGCTTTGTAACCTCATGCTAATAAAAAGATTATGCTTATAATTTTTCTATATTTTAAAATATTTATGGACTCTCTCTGAGAGATATTTTAATTTGTCCTCCTGTTCCATGAGTGCCAAGTTTACTGTGATGCAGAACTTACCAAAGTCTTTTAGGGGTCTAAGAATATGATTTCTACTGGATCACCCCATTAATGTGTTTCTTGACACTAAGAACTCTAAATGCTTGGTGAGGCAGGACGTCCCCTTGCAGAAGCCATGCTGATTTTTCCTCAACAAGGCTTGTTTTATATGCTTGTGTTTATTCAGCTGAGTGTAATGGCTAAAGTGTTGGACTAGGATCAGGGAGATTCAGATTCACATGTCCAAACCTCCCCCACTAGCATGGAGCTTGCTATGTTGTCTCCGACTAGTCATGCTCTCTCTATCAAACCTACCAGAGTCTGTGATGATAAAATAGGGACCAAATAACCTAATGCGCTTGAATTTATGATGTCTGGATTTGGTGACTTGTTTTAAACTACTGATTTTGCCCTCAGACTTCATCTCTTATCAGCCACAGTTTACTATATTTATTTTTATTTTATCAATCACTTCCTGGGCTTTATCTTTTGACTTCTCTTTTGAGGCACAGAGTTTTAGGTGCATGCCTGGGGGAAAAGATTCCATTGTAGCTGTTACTGTGCTCAGATTTTATGTATATATGCATAAACTTTTAAAATATATTAAAAAGCTTTGACCAGGTTGTCGTATTCATCCCACAGAATAAGGCAGAATTTGACTAAAACCAAATGATAAAAGATAATAACCTTTTCTGGCCATAGAATCAGGAAGAACAAACTTCGGGATAAAGTCCTATGCATTTATCAGGACAGAAGGAGTTCTTGTATAAACAAGTTTCCCAGTTCATTTCTGCACAGGAGGCAGCGGGCAGTATGATTTCGGATCGCCAGCCTCCAAGTGGAGTCTAGCGTGCTGGAATTACAATTGATCTATAGACGACATAGAACAGTTCCTCTGGAGAAAATGGCAGCATGAGAAGGTGGACTGTATGGCATCTTATCCCTGCTAAATTCCCTCCCTACTGAGCCCCCAAATATCCAGGAATTTCCAGCCTGGAGCTGGCAACTCACTACGGCATAAGGAATGGCTTGCCTACCTTCTGTATCCCATTACACCTGACTTGCTAGCCATTAAAGGCAGAAGTGCTGAT